TACTCAGGCAATTGTTTCTTTGTTTAAGAAATTGCCGTTTTACGATAGTCTCCAATAGCTGTATAGTTTTTTTACAGCTAGCGAGATGTGCTGAGTCAAGTCTGCACGTGTTGAGTGACTATCACGCCAACCACCTACACCCTCCCTCATCCCTGGTCTTGTTGACTTTTTCTTTACACCGGAAACGGAGGTGAGAGTGGCCAGCGAGTGGGTAGATTCCCCGCAAGTCTGTTTGCACTCTTGTTTTTATCTGCGGCAGTTCGCTGTGTTGCTTCAGCTTGTTGTAGCCTTCGTGTAGTTTGCCAAGTTTGCCTCAGCGTTTCCTTCGGCTTCCTTCAGCGTTTTCTGTGGTTTGTTGGAGCACGTGGCTGCCCATCATCAAAATCGACGGGGGAATTGTCGTGTATATTTTTACGAGAGGACGCTCAAAGATACGTCTTCTGATTTTCTGCTGCTCCCCATGACAGGGCAATGGTTCCTATCGCTCTAGCTTAAAAATCCTTAGTCATACTTGCCTCACGGGAAGGACGCTTCTCCGGGGTTTGTTTGATGTGGAAGGGAGAAAACTCCTCAGGACTGGCGAGCTGGAAATGCGCCGGATGTATTTCACTCGGCGAGGGTCGTCCGATACAAGTATGTTGTCCATGTTTGAAGTCTAACCTGCTGCTGTCGTATTCCATAGACGGGTTTATGCAAACTACAATGAGATGGAATCTATGCGACCGTGATACCGACAAACAGACCGGTGACCCTTAGTGGATTTATCATCTAAACGCTGAGTAGATCTACGAGGACATAGATGTCAAATAAATTTTATGTCTTCGACTGCTTGTTTAAACACCTTTGAAACATGTTTTATGGTAAATATTCAGCTTGTGAATATTTTATCAGCAGCTGGCCGCAATTGCTTCGCTATAGGTGACTGACTGTAGAGTGAGAACCTTTCGAGATCGGGTATGCCTCTCCCTGACTTATAGAGATACAGCATGTCTTGGGGCCGCATTCACCGAAAAGTATGCCTCAGTAGATGTGCAACCAAATATAAACCTCCGAAATTGCAACCCCTGGCTATTCTGAAAATTGCATAACTACAGTTATTGTTAGGGTCCCTAAGCACTTGGAGTCATGATAAAAGTTCCTGAACCCGACCGCCGTGACTTGTCAAATAGAAACTGCTGCCGGGAAGCATTTTTGAGTCTGAGACCACTGAATAATGGCGAAGTGGCCTTTTTCACTTAACGACTGATTAGACAATGCTCATGGAGACAGCGAGTCGTGGTGACGTCTGGGAGCTAATTACCAATGTCGACAAGTATTACCGTCCACCTTACGGAGAACAGATGAAGCAGTATCGGAAAATCTGGTCATTTGGATGCCCAGCCCTTTGGCTCATTGTGTTCTCCACTGCCACTGTTCGGTCGACACTGCATCCACGGTCCGGACATGTATTTCCTCCTCTTTTACACGCCATGTATAACCAACATGAGAAGTGAAAGTCTGGAAAGGCAAAGCTTCTTTTTAAAAATACATTTATCATTGCCCTTTGGATGATTTAGTGTAATAATTGATTTCCTTAGTGAAATGCAAGGTGGTTCTAGAGGATGTAGATTTAATCTTTTTTTAAATTAATCCCCTTTATTTTGGTTGTAGAACTGCGTCAGTTTGTGTGTGGATTTTGTGGAAGAGCCTTTGCCCAAAGTGCACACTTGCAAGCGCACATTGCGGCTATCCACGAAGGTGCGTTCCCCTTTCTATCGGAAGACTTGCATTTTTATTTTTTTAATACCTTTGTTTTCAAGGCCACCAATTTTTATCCTCGTGTTCAGTATTGCATATATATTTGGAACAGATTTGTGGCATTCCGGAGGTAGAATTTTACAAGGCCGCTTATACTTTGGTCGCAAGGGGAGGTGATGGTTGACGCGATCGTTTTAGTTCGCGTAGGGACAGAGAAGGTGATGCAAAGGCCTTCGCTCGGGAGATGGCGAGAAAATCATAGGAGGAAACAATTATAATATGCTACTAAGAGGAGGCGAGGACTACTGGAGGCCTGGGTATACGACTACAACTCCATCAACAGGCATGTGGATACGCCGTCCTTTTATTTTGCCATCCGTACTAGCGACCAGAAACTATTAC